TGTATATCTTCCTGCACGGAATGCGAAGCCAAAGTGCACGATTGAATCGGTTGCGCTAGGGCTGGTTTACTTGCATGTGGATTCTTCATTCGAGCCTTGAATAAAAAGCATGTGTTTGTGTTGAGCACTGGCCAAGAGCCCCCCGATGTGGCGGGGAGAAGGAATGGTCGCCATTACTTTACATGGCCTGTGCTTCCCAAAACACGTGAATAGCTCTATCCTGGCACTCCCTAGCGTCACTATTGCGTCACCATTACGCCACCATTCGCTTATACGTTTAACAAATGGTGACCTTCTGTCATTGGTCGGTCTATGCGTCACCACATCACTCTTCCATATGTAATGATTGATGACTCGACAAGGAATGACCACTGTTTAATAATCCCAAAGACCGATGACCCACATAAGAAACTCATTCATCCAACGATTCAGATATGGTTTTGTCGCCATTGGTGAATAAAGAACGTCCCTAATAATAACAGCGTTTGAAAATATTCCTTTTCACCAAACACACCGAACTTAATGGACTCCAGTGTCAAAGGTGGCAGAACAATTATTTGAGTTAATGTCGCTGGGAGATAGAGAAAAAAAAAAACTCAGTCGACATCGTCTGTCTGGGTCATTCCATGGTCGCTCACATGTTTCACTCTTGTAGTTCTGATGTCATCAGAAATTCTCTTTCTTACTCGGCTTCCTCCTCCTCCTCCTCCTCCTCCGTCCCTCTTGTTTCTTCAGCCCTTTGTACCCGGCTCCATCCTTCCTTGATTTGATCCCGTCTTTTTACATCTTTAACTCCGGGAAGACAAACGACACAAATTGCATTTGCTGCTCATCCAAACAGCAGCACCTAAATTAGACACGGTGCCATTTTTGCTTGTCACGTTTTATTTCATCCTTCAAAATAAAAATAAATAAATAAATGAAACTTCAAGTCGGAACACCCTGAGCTGAACATGGATGTCGACTTTCCTGGTTGCAAAAAAAAAAAAAAAAAAATGTTGGCGGCTCAACAGAGTTAATAACTTGCAGCTTGTTCCCAGCAACAAAGCAAACCTTGAAGAATGATGCAATAATTCCTTCTCGTTTTTGGTGTTGTTGAGCCGCTCGCAAGCCATCTGTCTGCGGGAAAGTTCCAATGCGTTACTGCAGCTATATTTCACCGCAATGTACAGTGTGTGTGTGTGTGTGTGTGTGTGTGTGTGTGTGTGTGTGTGTGTGTGTATGTATGTGTTCCTTAACATTTTTTTTTCCAAATACCAAATATCATTTTTCATTCATTTCTTTTGTTTTGTTTTAATCACAACCTCAGCATTATTCATGGTTATTTCCTGGAGCTGAAAATGAAAAAAGTGGAGAAAAAAAAACCCCATGAAAATGGAAGCGATTTCAGTCACATTTGAGAGCTGTGTTTTATTTGACTGTCAGATTTTGAAAGCTGGAAATGTTGAGCACGACATTGTGTCGTTTTTTTTGGCTGCTATTCCTTTCACTCACTCATTTTAAACGACTTGTTTCATCCAGAGGTCACCCTTGGACTTTATTCCACTTGAATTCATGATTCCTTCATCGCCTCTTTATCCAATCCTTGCTCAGTTTACACGCCAATCATTACACACAGAATAGTAATCGGAGAATAAACTTTGGTCTGGTGGTTTAATTTTACTCTTCAGTCATAGTTTGTATTTGATTTTTTTCCTGGGAGATCTTATGACAGCATGAATGGATGTTGAGCGATACGGTGTATTGCACTTTGGCTCAGGTTCCATTTTAGTTACTCATTTAAAATGACCGATTTCATTCTGATCTCACAACTTTTTGGCTTTCATCCCATACCAAGTGTGCACAAGAGAAATAAGTATGAAGGAATGCAATGTGTCATCCGTACACAAGAACAGTAAATTCTTTAAGAAACATTTCTCCTGAATTAAATCATACTGCTTCCAGTTAATCGTCCGCCATCGCACAGATGTTATTAAATAACTTGATGGGGGTCTGTTTTAGCTTTGCATATTTTATTTTTATTACAGAGGACTGTTTGGTCATTGTGTTATGTTTGTCGTTATGTTTGGCATGTTTGGTTCATTTAGAATTGTCAGTGTCATCGGTTGGCAAGTGTGTCCAACTTCACGGGCCCAATTTTCATAGACAGGCGCCCAAGCGCTCAGCGCATCTTCACTTTCGTGCCCGGGACAGATCGAATTTGAGACCGCGCTCTGCCTCGAGAGGCGTTCCAGCGTTTTCTATTGCAGGCCCACAGCGCATCTGGCAATTGGGTGACAAAAAGTGGGCTGGATGTTAGACGCGCGTGTCTTTCCCACTTTATGCAATCACTGCATGTCCGCAGTGCAAAAAAAATGCTTTTAATTGACAATTGATGCTCAGTGAAATGCATGGGCAGAAAAAAATCCCCAAACAATTTTTTTCTTTAAATTGCCCAAATTCTTAAAAAAAAAAAAAAAAAAAAAAAAAAAAAGGCAGGGTTTTATAGAAATACAAAAAGCATTCTCGGAT